GTACAACTAACCAACCACGATTGTTATCGTGATGTCTCTGCATGGGAGGTATAATACGTCTGGGCAAAGGCGAGGCACCTTTGAATGCCGAGGCACCCCAAACTGTGGGGAATACAGCACGATATTTATCCCACATTTCTTCCTTGGGTATGTCAGCTATGCGCGCGGAATATGACCAAACCATTGGCTCAACTAGATCCCCCAAGTGATAAGATTTCAATGTGTGTTCTGGTATATTCGGTAACATATCATCCCAAATTATCACTTTCATAGAAGGCCATTTGCTCTCAATGAAATTGGCTATATTTTTTACGTGTTTTAGAAAAATTTGGTGGGGGTTTCCTTTTTTCCGACATAATTTACACTGCCCAATTTGAAATACTTCATCACAACCAATATGTATGTGAGTGAATTGGTGTGCATTGGGCGCCACTGCCTCCCTATGGAATTCAATTATTTGTGTTAAAATTGAGGTTAGAAATGGCATAGTTTCCCTGTGTTTGGGACATATGGCCTGGGGACTATTGAAATTTTCTCGCATATGAGCGAACTCTTTCAGTTTCAATGCATATTCCATGTGTCCAAATGTTTGGGTTAGGGGTATTATTTGCAAGTTCAAACTGGCACAGGCTTTCAAGAAACTCTACAAGAAAGAAGAGAATTTTGAGGGAACATGTTGGAAGGAATAAAAAAGTCTTGAATTGTTATTCAGATGACATGGCTTGAAAAGACTTATGTGATTTGAAAGGGCTTAGATGACTTGGATAGTATTATAGAAATATTTGAAAGGTGCTCAATTACCAGTATGATGGCATAAAAGATGTTCTATTGTCAGTAAGGTGACTTTAAAGCATTAATATGTCAAAAAAATGAATTGAAAAAGTCTTAGATGACTTGAAAAAGTCTTAGATGATTCGAAAAGACTTAGTTGATTTGAAAAAACTTAGATGACTTAGATAGTTATTTAAGAGAGTTTAAAAAGACCTCAATGATATTTTAGACGACATGAAAGATCTTCTATTGTCAGTTAGATGACTAGAAAGTAGTCAAATGTCAAAAAATAATGATAGGAAGATGACTTGAAAAGAGTTAGATTATTTGAAATGGCTTAGAAGACTTGAAAAGACTTACATGAATTGAAACCGTATTTTAAAAAGATTTGAAAAGTTCGTATTTTAAAAAGATTGAAAAAGTGTGATGACATAAAAGGGGTTGTTTCTCAGTTACATTACTTGAAAGCATTCGTACGTCGAAAACAATACTTGGCAGATAACTTGAAAATACTTAGATGGCTTGATAAGACTTAGATGACTTAAAAAGACAAAAATGACTTGCTAAGTTTTTTTTTTTTTTTTTTTGAAATATCTTTAAGGAAAAATCTTGGTTTTGTTAGTTAGGTGACTTGAAAGCATTTATATATTCTAAGAATTATTGGTAAATGCCTTGATAATACCAAGATGTCTTAAAAAGCATAGATGACTTGAATAGGCTTAGATGACTTGAAAAGTCTAGATGACATGATAGTTTATATCATAAACATTTTTGGTAGATGACTTAAAAATACTTAGAGAACTTGAAAAAATTAATCCTAGAAAACGTATGGTTTCATATATTGTCATTTATATGGCTTGAAAACTCTTTTAATGAAAACAAAAGACTTGAAAATTATTTTTGTTACTTGTGCTGTAAATAACATAGTTTTTAATGATTTTAGATGAGTTGAGAAAGGCTAAGATGATTTGAAATAGTCTTGGGTGATTTGAAATAGTCTTAGATGACTTGGAAAGGTCTTAGATAGATTAAAAGTCAGCTGGTTTTAAACGGTTTGTAGTTATAATTCTATGGTAATTACTTGTCATGATGTGTCTTAGAATGAACTTACATGACCTACAAAGGCACACATTGCCAAGTAGAGGAGGCCATCTGTTGTCAACGGATGACTTAACAAGTCATTTTATTGTCGACAAGTGATCTGAAAAGTATTTTTGTTATAGACACTAATATTTTTTTAATAGCAATGGGTGACTTTTATTATAAATTATTTGTAAAGTTTTAAATGTTTTGAAAAATCTTAGATGATTTGTAAGAGCCTGAGATTACATAAAATTGTTTTGGATGACTTGGATTAGACTTGGATAGCTTGAAAAGGTCTTAGATGACTTGTAAAGTCTTCTTTATCTTATTAGCTGACTTTGAACGGTTTGTAGTAGTAATTAATTGAGGGAAAATTGTTTCTACTGCTTTGGGAAGACTTCATTGCCAACTAAATGACTTGAAAAGACTTCAATCGCCGCAAAAAGTCTTCTGTAGCCAACAATAGCAAATAAGTGTAATTTTATTGTCAACAGATGACTTGAAGGGCATTTTTCTTTCATGATTTGAAAAATCTTCCCTATCTTATTAGTTGACTTTTAACAGTTTGTAGTGTTAATTAATTAAGAAAAAATGTTTTTACTGGTTACAGAAATCTTCATTGTCAACTAAATGACTTGAAAATACACTATTTGCCATTAGATGATCGCAAAAAGTCTTAGATGATTTGAAAAGTCTTCTCTTGTCTATCAGCTAATATTGAGCTGTTTTTAGTGATAAGTTAATAAGTCAAAAATGTTTCTACTTGTGGGAAAAACCTTCATTGCCAACTAAATAACTTGAAAATGCAAAAATGTTTTCTGTCGTCAATAAGAGCCAATAAATGTCTAATTATAAATCATATTCGCAAAAGAACTCTACAAAGATATTTTAATTAATTTATTTATTTGCGAAAATTGTAATTGATCCGAAAGGTCTTAAATAATTTGTTAAAGTCTAAGATGAGTTGAAAAGGTCTTGGATGATTCGGAAAAGACTTAGATGACCTAAAAAATCTTCTCTTGCTTATCAGCGGTTTTTTAGTGATTATTAAATAACTCATAAATGTAGGAGAAGTCTTTATTGCTAACTAAATAACTTGAAAATGCTTTGTCACACACAGTCTTCTGTTGTCAATAATAGCCAATAAATGTCTGATCAAAAATCATATTCGCAACTGAAGTCTTACAAAGAACTTTTAATTCATTAATTTTTTGCAAAATTTTAAATAGTCCGAAGAGTCTTAAATGATTTTTTAAGTCTAAGATTGCATGAAAATGTCTTGGTTGACTTGGAAATGACTTAGATGACCTGAAAAATCTTCTTCTGCTTATCAGCGGTTTTTAATGATTATTAAATAACTCAAAAATGTAAGAGAAGTCTTTATTGCCAACTAAACAACTTAAAAGGGCATATTCGCAACTAAAGTCTTACAAAGAACTATTAATTCACTAAAGTCTAATGGTATGTTTACGTTAGAGCCTTTTTCCGGGTTAACCTTCTTTATGAAGATTTATTTGAGGTATATGGAATGGAATTGACAATTTAAACCTACTGGGTTTTCTAAATCCTTTACAGCGTAAACGTACTATAAGATAATTTTAAAATGTTTTGTATGACTTGAAAAGGACTTAAATGGCTTGAAAAGGTCTTAAATGCCCTGAAAAGTCTTCTCTTGTTTACCAGCGGAACTTGAACGGTTTTTATTGATAATTAAAGACTTCAAAAAAGGTAAAAGGAGTCTTCATTGCCAACTAAATAACTTGAAAACGCTTTATCATAGAAAAAATGGTCAATACCAAAGACTTAATTAAAAATTTAATTATTTGCAAAATTTTAAATGATCCGAGGAGTCTGAAATGATTTGTATATGACTAAGATGACTTGAAAACGTTTTGGATGTCTAAGATGACTTGAAAATGTTTTGGATGACTTGAAAAGAATTTAGATGGCTTGAAAAGTTCTTGAATAGCCTGAAAAGTCTTATCTTGCTTATTTGCTAGATAAAAAATCTTCTGCCATCAATTATAGCTAATAAAACTGAAAAAAGTCTTATGCCATCAATGATAGTCAATAAAAATCCCCCCTACCAAAGCTCAACTATTCTAATTTGTTATAGAAAATCAATTTACCTTTAATTCCTCTCGCCCATAAGCATTTCGAGCTGACAGGACTTTCAAATTGCCCTCAAACGGAAACATATCTTCATATTCAATGAGGAGGCCAGTGGCGCCCAATTGAGAAATATCATTGATTACATTTTTCAAAAAGGCAAGCTAAAAGTAGATGTCTTTGAAATGAAAAATTTCGAAATGGGGAGAATTGTGATACCTTTGGAGGGGCTCCTTTTAGATCCAAATGAACCAAACGTTGTTTGGGAATATGCAAGTTTTTCTCCTGGTCACTTTTATTTCGCCAATATTGATACCGTGCATGTAGCAGAAAATAAAGAACGAAAGTCAGAATTATTGAAAAAATCAATAAAACACTACGATGACGATTTCTAAAAATCATTTTTTTATTTATTTTTTCTTTCAAGATTTTTTTTTTTTTTCAAATTTTGATAGAACTTCGTGTCATTGTCGTATCAAAATAAATTCACAGGGAGGAACTTCTCGTGTTCATTTTGTTCGGTAATTGAATTAACAAATTATCACAAATGAAACGTTAATGTAATTGATTTATAAAACGCTAAATGTAACTAAATTGTTACAAAATTGCACCGACTGTAAAGCCAACGGAAATGACAGATTAAGTAAGCCAAAGATAACGTCATCGGTAATTTAAATATGGCCCTACAATTTGCAATAATTTTTAATATTTAAAAAAATCCCCCATTTATCGAGAGAGTTGCAACCGGTTACAAGATATGAAAGTGACCACATAAAGAGTTCGCAACTACATTCCCTTATTGACCATACTTTTTTTATTGGAATTGCCAATTTCTTTTAGCAGTTTTTGCCAACAGGTGTTAAATATTTTACAAATTAGCTACCACTCCTTTTTGACCAAATTTGACGTCACATAACTTAACAACTTTATCGTTTAGCGATCTAAACATCTTGGTGTAAATTAGTTTTATTAACATTGGAATATTTTTATTGCCAGTAACTTTGTTTTAATTATTTGTTTATTTTGTCTTTTTGCAGATTTCGTCATACCTCAACGTGTGATATTGGCCATTATGGGCTTTTTGGCCATCCTCAATGCCTATACGATGCGTATCAGTTTATCGATAGCCATCACAGAATTGGTTGTCAAGAAGAACTACACAGATGAGGGAGAAGCGGCCGTGTGTCCGGCTGATGATTTGGATTCCGATTCATCGGTAAGTGTTATCGAAAAACTTGAAATTAAGCTGAAAAAATTTGTAATCGGACAACTTTTCAATAGAAAAACATGTTTCTTCAAAAAAAACTTGTTATCGAAAAAGTTTTCCATAGAAAAACTTGTTATCGGATAAGTTGTCTATGGATAAACTGGTTATCGGACAAGCTTTCTATAGAAAAACTTGTTATCGGACAAGCTTTCTATAGAAAAACTTGCTATCGGACAAGTTTTCTATAGAAAAACTTGTTATCGGACAAGTTTTCTATAGAAAAACTTGTTATCGGACAAGTTTTCTATAGAAAAACTTGTTATCGGACAAGTTTTCTATAGAAAAACTTGTTATCGGACAAGTTTTCTATAGAAAAACTTGTTATCGGACAAGTTTTCTATAGAAAAACTTGTTATCGGACAAGTTTTCTATAGAAAAACTTGTTATCGGACAAGTTTTCTATAGAAAAACTTGTTATCGGACAAGTTTTCTATAGAAAAACTTGTTATCGGACAAGTTTTCTATAGAAAAACTTGTTATCGGACAAGTTTTTTATGGAAAAACTTGTTATCGGACAAGTTTTCTATAGAAAAACTTATTATCGGACAACTTTTCTATAGAAAAACTTGTTATGAAACAAGTTTTCTATAGGAAATTTTGTTATCGGACAAGTTATCTATAGAAAAACTTGTTATTGGACAAGTTTTCTGTAGAAAAACTTGTTATCGAACAAGTTTTCTATAGAAAAACTTGTTATCGGACAAGTTTTCTATAGAAAAACTTGTTATCGGACAAGTTTTCTATAGAAAAACTTGTTATCGGACAAGTTTTCAATAGAAAAACTTGTTATCGGACAAGTTTTCTATAGAAATACTCGTTATCGAACAAGTTTTCTCAAAAATACTTGTTATCGAACAAGTTTCCTACAAAAATATAACAATTAACATGTTTTCTATAAAAATGCATGTTATCGAATAAGTTTTCTATAGAAAAACCTGTTATAGAACAAGTTTTCGATAGAAATACTTGTTGTCGAACAAGGTTTCCATAGAAAAACTTGTTATCGAACAAGTTTTTGAAAGAAAAACTTGTTATCGAACAAGTTTTCGAAAGAAAAACTTGTCATCGAACAAGTATTTAGTAAATCTTGTTATCGAATAATAATTCTGACTAATATCCAAACCTTTTTGTCTTCCTTTCCAGAGCGGTGGTGACTATGAATGGTCTGAAGAGTTACAAGGTTTAATTCTCTCATCATTCTACATTGGCTACATTGTGACACACGTTCCCGGTGGTCTATTGGCCGAGAAATTTGGCGGTAAATGGACCTTGGGTTTGGGTATTTTATCGACGGCTTTCTTCACATTGATCACTCCCATTGCCATTACCGAAGGTGGTTCGACGGCTTTGATTATTGTTCGCATCTTGATGGGCTTGGGTGAGGGTACAACATTCCCTGCTTTGAGTGTGTTGCTATCGCAATGGGTACCCCTCAAGGAACGTGGAAAATTAGGCGCCTTGGTCTTGGGTGGTGGTCAAGTTGGTACCATTTTGGCCAATTCTTTGTCTGGTGTGCTGTTAGATGCCTACGATTGGCCAGTGGTGTTCTATTTGTTTGGCGGTCTCGGTGTTGTGTGGTTCATTATTTTTGTAAGTACTATGGAGGGGATTAATTTTGAATTGAAATTAAATTTTATGTAATTTTTTAGACTCTTTTGTGCTACAGCGATCCCGGTTCCCATCCCTTCATTAAGCCTACCGAACGTGAATATTTGGAAAGGGAAATGGGTTCAGTGACCCGCAACGATAATTTGCCACCCACACCATGGAAGGCCATTCTGACCAATTTGCCCATGATTGCATTGGTTTGCGCTCAAATCGGTCACGATTGGGGCTTCTATATCATGGTCACTGATTTACCCAAATATATGGCTGATGTTATGCAATTCTCCATCAAGGCCAACGGTTTGTACTCTTCCCTGCCGTACATCATGATGTGGATCTTCTCCATTTCATCTGGTTTCGTTGGCGATTGGTTGATGACAAGAAATATTTTGAGCATCACAAATACTCGTAAATTGATGACTGCTATCGGTGAGTAAAATGGATATTTTTGCGATTTATCGATAATAAAATCAGGAGGATAAAACGATGGACCTTTTTAATGGAAAAAGTTGTTATCGCAAAACTTTTGTGCACATAATACTGTCATCGATCACACTTTCCATAAAAAAAATTATCGAACGCACCTTCTATAGAAAATGTTGTTATCGGACATCTTTTCTATAGAAAATGTTATTATCGAACAACTTTTCTATGGAAAATATTGTTATCGGACAACTTTTCTCTAGAAAATGTTGTTATCGGACAACTTTTCTATAGAAAATATTGTTATCGGATAACTTTTTTATAGAAAATGTTTTTATCGGACAACTTTTCTCTAGAAAATATTATTATCGGACAACTTTTCTGTAGAAAATGTTGTTATCGGACAACTTTTCTATAGAAAATGTTGTTATCGGACAACTTTTCTATAGAAAATGTTGTTATCGGACAACTTTTCTATAGAAAATGTTGTTATCGGACAACTTTTCTATAGAAAATGTTGTTATCGGACAACTTTTCTATAGAAAATGTTGTTATCGGACAACTTTTCTATAGAAAATTTGGTTATCGGAAATTTGTTCTATAGAAAACATAGTTATCGAAAAACTTTTTTATTGAAAACATTGTTATCGAAGAACTTTATTAATGAAAACATTGTTATCGAACAACTTTTCTATCTAAAAAATTGTTATCGAACAACTTTTCTATCGAAAATGTTGTTATCGAAAAAAATAATTTTTTTTTTGTTGAAAATGGTGTTATCGACCACCATACTTGTAAAAATTGTTGTTACTGATCATCTTTTCGATCGAATTGTCTTTGAAAAAACCTGCTATTGAAAAACTCGTTATCAAACTTGTTGTAGAACAAGTTTTCTTTAGAAGTACTTGTATTCGAACAAATATTTGTTATCGAACAAGTTGTTTTTTTAGAAATCGAAAACGTTGTTATCGAAAAAAAATGTCCTTACATAAATTTTTGTATCGGATCATTTTTTTGTTGAAAATAGTGTTATCGAGCACCATATTTGTGGAAATTGTTGTTATCGATTAACTTTTCGATCGAATTTTTGAAAAATATTTTTTTAACTTTTATGCAGACAATGTTCTTTTCGAACATATTTTCCCTACAAATAATTGTTATTTATCGATTTTTTGTTATATAAAATCTTGTTATCGATCTAAATTTTTGTAGAAAATATTGCATTCCAAGAGATTTTCTGTTTAAAAGGATGTTATCGATAAACCTCAATATAAAATATGTTATTTTCGACGCCCAAAATATTAATCCATTTTTTTACTTTTATTTTACAGCTGCCTTTGGTCCTGCAATTTTCATGGTTGCCGCTTCCTATGCTGGCTGTGATCGTGTTGCTGTTGTTGTGCTGTTCACCATTTGTATGGGTCTCATGGGTGCTTTCTATGCTGGCATGAAACTTAGCCCCCTCGATATGAGTCCCAATTATTCGGGTACATTGATGGCCATTACAAATGGTATTGGTGCCATTACAGGCGTTATTACACCCTACTTGGTGGGCGTTATGACACCAAATGTAAGTCAAATTTGGGAAAATTGAAAAATTTCCAGGAAATTATTAATCCATTTTTGTTTTCTAGGCCACTTTGTTGGAATGGCGTTTGGTGTTCTGGGTTGCCTTTGCCGTCTTGTGTGTAACTGCTGTTATCTACTGCATTTGGGCCTCGGGTGAGGTTCAGCCTTTTAATGATCCACCAGCCGTCAAGGATTACGAATCCGAGGAACGTGGCAAAAAGCCCGAGAAGAAGTAAAGACTGTTATTGTAAAGAAAATTCCTCCATGGAATATTTAACAAAAAAAGCGAAAAAGTGACAACAACAAATGTTAAAAAAAGAAACATTCAGGAAATACCCTTCCACACAATGCGCCACCCCCCTACCCCTATACCAAATGTGTATTTAAACGAAATGATTTCGTTCTTTCTTTTCTGAAGACTTCCCGATAACGCATAACAAACAGTATTTTTAACTGTTTTGATTTCATTTCATACAACAAATTTAGTTTAGATAAACGAACCTAACCTTAAATTAATTCTAACCTAAAAAATGAAACAGGAAACGAAGTGCCTTTCGTTGTAACTTTTGTGAATTGAAATGTTATTGCTGTAATTAAATTAATTGTTGTCTATGTATGTAGATTAGTATTTAAATGTATTATTTTTTTATTAATTTTAAGCTTTAGTTGTAGTTGCGATACAAATACAAAAATGTATTGAAATAGTTTTTAGAGAAGCAAAAAAAAAAACAGAAACAAAAACAAAAAGAAAAAAATGAAAGCCGTGTCCCAAATTTATATAGGAATTGTATGTGATATTTTTGTAGCACAGTTTGTTTGTTTGTAATATTTTTATAGGATGAATTTTTTTAAATTGTGCCAATTAACAAATTTTATTGTTAAATTGTTGATGGGCTCAAACAAAATTCAAAGCAATGATCAAAAAAATACAAAAGCATTTTTTGTATGTGTAGGTATTATAGAGACCACATAGTTCTGACTCTCTTGCATCCTTTCCTATTTCATTTTAAAGTTCACATAAATATATGGCAGGAGGATAGAGAGAAGATAATCAAATTCTCTTTGAATTTAAAAGTTCTTAGACTTTTATTTAAAAATTGTTTATTTTATGGAAAAAATTCGGTTTATCTTCAAACCCCCTGCCTTCATATCTCCTTTTCCCTTTTTCCCACTTTTTAAACTTTTCCTACTTCTCTATAACTTCCATAGTTTCAAGTTCTCCTTTCCTTTTTCCTTGAGATTCATTTACGAATTTACTACAAATACATAACAATAATTTTTTAGTCATTTTATTGTAGTATTTAGTTGCAATTTACATTTGATTTAAGAAAATAATTTAATTTAATTTAATCATTAAACAAAAATAAAGAGAGCAGAATTATCCAGATATGCAAATTAAACTGAAAAACACACATTAACTGATTATTTTATATGAATTTTGGTTCCTCCCAAACGTTTGTTTTTTTTTTTTTTAAATATTCTCTATGTAAATTACTTAAATAATATTAAGTCAATATATTTTGTAAAATATTACCTATGAAAATAAAAAGTCATTTTTCCAAAAAAAAAAAATTATTCAAATTTATTTATTTTTTTTTTTCAATAAGACAATTAAAGGAAAGATATTCGATAACAAACTTCATGTATAGGAAACTTGTTAAAAATTAGTTTTTCTGTAGCAAAACTTGTTCGATAACAAGTTTTTCTATACAAAACCTGTTCCATAACAAGTTTTTCTATAGAAAACTTTTTCGATAACAAGTTTTTCTATAGAAAACCTGATCTATAACAAGATTTTTTTATAGAAACGTGTTCGATTACAAGTTTTTCTAAAGAAAACTTATCCGATAACAAATTTTTCTATAGAAAACTTGTTCGATAACAAGTTTTTCTATAGAAAACATGATCGATAACAAGTTTTTCTATAGAAAACATGATCGATAACAAGTTTTTCTATAGAAAACCTGTTCGATAACAAGTTTTTCTATAGAAAACCTGTTCGATAACAAGTTTTTCTATAGAAAACCTGTTCGATAACAAGTTTTTCTATAGAAAACCTGTTCGATAACAAGTTTTTCTATAGAAAACCTGTTCGATAACAAGTTTTTCTATAGAAAACCTGTTCGATAACAAGGTTTTCTATAGAAAAGATGTTTGGTAACAAGGTTCTCTATAAAAAACTTGTTCGATTACAACGTTTCCTATAAAAAAAAGTTGTTCGATAACAAGGTTTTCTATAGAAAAGTTGTTCGATAACAATGTTATCTATAAAAAAACATGTTCGATAACAAGCTTTTTTTTAAAAAACCCTCTTCGATAACAAGTTTTGCTACAGAAAACCAGTTCGATAACAAGTTTTTCTATGGAAAAGATGTTCGATAACAAGGTTCTCTATAGAAAATTTGTTCGATTACAAAGCTTTCTCTAAAAAAGTTGTTCGATAAAAAGGTTTTCTATAGAAAAGTTACAAAGTTATCTATAGATAACAAGTTTTTCTATAGAAAACCTGTTCGATAACAAGTTTTTCTATAGAAAACCTGTTCGATAACAAGTTTTTCTATAGAAAACCTGTTCGATAACAAGTTTTTCTATAGAAAACCTGTTCGATAACAAGTTTTTTTTAAAGAAAACTTGTTCGATAACAAGGTTTTCTATAGAAAAGATGTTTGGTAACAAGGTTCTCTATAAAAAACTTGTTCGATTACAACGTTTCCTATAAAAAAAGTTGTTCGATAACAAGGTTTTCTATAGAAAAGTTGTTCGATAACAATGTTATCTATAAAAAAACATGTTCGATAACAAGCTTTTTTTAAAAAACCCTCTTCGATAACAAGTTTTGCTACAGAAAACCAGTTCGATAACAAGTTTTTCTATGGAAAAGATGTTCGATAACAAGGTTCTCTATAGAAAATGTGTTCGATTACAAGGCTTTCTCTAAAAAAGTTGTTCGATAAAAAGGTTTTCTATAGAAAAGTTCTTCGATAACAAAGTTATCTATAGAAAACGTATTCGATAACAAGCTTTTCTGTAAAAACCCTCTTCGATAACAAGTTTTGCTATAGAAAACCAGTTCGACAACAAGTTTTTCTATAGAAAAGATTTTTTTTTCTATGGAATACCTGTCCGATAACATGGTTTTCTATAGGAAACGTGTCCGATAACAAAGTTTTCTAAACAAAACTTTTTCGATAACAAGTTTATTCATAGAAAATCTGTTCAATGACAAGATTTTCTATAGAAAACTTGTTCGATAACAAATATTTCAACGAAAAACTGGGTCGATAACTAGTATTTCTAGAGAAAGTTTCTTTCGATAACAGTCTTTTCTATGGAAAACTTGTTCAACAACTTGTTTTTCAGGAATAAAGTTTTTCTTTAGAATTTTTTTTTTTTTGATAAATAGATTTTCTAGGGAAAACTTGTTTGATAACAATACTTTCTGAAATATATCCGATAGCAGCATTTTTCGATAAATAATTTTATAGTAAATAATTTTACGATAACAAATTTTCGTACTTATCCACAACATCTTGTCTGTAGATGAATTGTTCGAAATTGTTTATCTTGTGATTTTTTTTTTGATAGCCCCTAACACATAACAGAAATAGCTCAAGAAAATTATTTCGATAACAATTCTTTCAAGGGAAAACTTTTCTGGAAATCTCTATTTTTTAGAAATTTTAATAACAATAACAGATTTATGCCCACAAAAATTGTCCAATAATCATGTTTCCCCCAGAGAAATTTTCCCCTACAAATTTTTCAATTAAAAAAATGGTTCATCGATAAAAAAAATATTTTTCAAAACAAAATTTTTCGATAGTAATTGTTTACAGACACGGTTGAAGCTGTTCCAGAACTGCAAGAATGTAAAATTTTTGCTAAAATAACCGATTTTCCCTTTAAGATATAAAAAAATAAAAAAATACAAAACTAGTCGATTCTAGAAGGTACTGGAACAGAGCAATTGTTTCTAGTTCCAGCCTTGGAACTTTGACGTATTGTCATAACCAATAACAAACATTCATATTTCATATTTATTTTTCAAATTTAAAAAAATTCAATTTAATCCGCAATGTTACAACGTGTTGTATTGGCCGTCATGGCCTTTCTGGCCATCGTGAATGCCTATACAATGCGCATAAGTTTATCCATTGTCATAACCGAATTGGTGGTCAAGCGAAATCATACCAAGGAAGATATTGGGACAGCGGTTTGTGAGGCTCAGGATGATGGCTTGGATCCGGATACTTCAGTATGCAAGGAAGACACCGAATAATTAAATACAACATTAATGCCCATTTTCTATTTTTAGCCCGGTGGCGAATATGAATGGTCTGAGGAGTTACAAGGCTTTATATTATCCTCATTTTATATTGGCTACATTATAACCCACGTACCAGGTGGTATATTGGCCGATAAATTTGGTGGTAAATGGACCTTAAGTTTGGGTATCCTATCAACGGCAGTATTTACGGTGCTGACTCCCTGGGCCATTGAGTGGGGTGGTTCGACGGCCCTGATTGTGTTGCGGATTTTAATGGGTCTGGGAGAGGGTACCACATTTCCTGCACTTAGTGTTCTGCTATCACGCTGGGTGCCAATTGGCGAGCGGGGAAAATTGGGGGCCTTGGTATTGGGCGGTGGACAAATCGGTACCATTTTGGCAAATTCAATATCGGGATTTTTGTTACACCACTTCAAATGGCCAGTGGTTTTCTATCTCTTTGGGGGATTAAGTGTCGTGTGGTTTTTGATATTTGTAAGTGCACGTGGGGACCTTTCAATCATAATTTTGAATCGAAATTTTGAAAAATTTTTTCCAGACTTTCATATGCTATAGCACTCCATCTGCCCATCCCTTTATTTCGGAGAGGGAGCGTGAATATTTAGAACAGGAAATAAATTCTAGTGGTCCCAATGAAAATTTGGCACCCACCCCCTGGAAGGCCATCTTCACCAGCATGCCCATGATTGCCTTGATATGTGCCCAAATCGGCCATGATTGGGGTTTCTATATTATGGTCAGCGATCTGCCCAAATACATGGCCGATGTAATGCAATTTTCGATCAAGGCCAATGGTGTGTACTCCTCTCTGCCCTATGTTAGTATGTGGACTATATCGATTTCTTCGGGATTTGTGGGTGACTGGCTGATGGTGAGAAGTATTTTGAACATCACAAATACCAGGAAATTAATGACGGCTATTGGTAAGGGTTTGGAAATAAATAACACTCCAGAGGCTGGATTTTTGTTCTAAGACAATCTGAGATGAAAAACATTCTTGATCTGGTTCAGAACCTGCAAAAATGTTACTACGATAACCGATTTTTCCTTTATGGTATCGAAAAAAATTGCAAAACTTGTAGATACTCACAGGTTCTGAAGGAGAGTTTTTACTTATAATTTAAAAAAAAAATTAAAGTCATATTTTCTAGAGCAAAAATTGAGCCAGTGTACTTCTTTACAAAACTTTCTTCCCTTTATTCTGCAGCCGCCTTTGGCCCAGCCATATTTATGGTTGCTGCCTCCTATGCCGGCTGCAATCGCCTGGCCGTGGTCGTACTGTTTACCATCTGCATGGGTCTCATGGGTACCTATTATGCCGGCATGAAGTTGGGCCCCCTAGATATGAGTCCCAATTATGCTGGTACTTTGATGGCCATAACCAATGGCATTGGCGCCATAACGGGAGTGGTTGCCCCATATTTGGTGGGCGTCATGACACCCAATGTAAGCTGTGGGTAAATTTATTAGAGTTTCTTTTAAAAGATGTCTTGCAGGCAACCCTTCTCGAATGGCGTGTCGTTTTCTGGCTGGCGTTTATTGTCCTCTGTGGCACTGCTGTAATTTACTGTATTTGGGCTTCGGGTGAGGTACAATATTACAATGATCCTGAGACTTTGAGACAATATGAGGAGGAGCGAAGGGCGAAGAGGAAGTGAAGAAACCCAAAATTTTCTTTTCTCTTTTAAATTTAAAACTTTTTGTAAAAACTCAATCTATTTTGTTTTTTTATGTTTATAAAATATTAAGAAATCCTTTTTTAAAATTCCAAAAAAAAAGTAAAAAAAAATTGAAGCCCTATTGCGAAAATCTACGATTAATCCACAGGACATATTTTAAAAATGCAAAATTACATCCCCAAAGGCATTTAAAAAATCTCTAATTACAGCCATTAAAAAATAGTTCAGAAACCTACGAATATACCTTGACAAAAACAAGTTAAACAAGTAAAAAAGCAGCTAAGTTCGGCCGGGTCGAACTTATAATGCCTTCCACCATTTTGAAGCAACTTGAAAAACTTCCAAAGAAAATCCGTGGAAAAATACCACTAAAAGGAAAACTGATATACGGTAGCTGCACGAAGACTTAGTTCCGCATAAGTAATTTTTTTCATGGGTTGTAGTACATATTACGATCTTCAAATATGAAATATGCCGCTAATATCATCAAAATATTGAATATAGGGAGGTATCGTTATATGTGGGGTATACGAAGACGTGGACCTCCACAGACAATTTTCCGCCGTAGCTTGCAGTACCTATTGCGAACTTCAAATAAAATATTTAAAACAATTCCGACGAATAATGTCGCTAAAATTATAAAAAAAATTAATATCGGGAGGTATCGTTATATGGGGGCCATACGAAGACTTCGGCCTGTGCATGGGCCTGAGTATGTATTTTTTTTTGTCATAGGCTGTAGTGTCCGTTAAGGTCTTCAAATACGAAATTTGAAACAATTCCGGTAAATAATGACGCAAAAATTATCAAATATGAAAACGTGGTCCGACATGGCCCATTTACGAACTTACTGACAAAATAAACATGTGTGCAATCTCAATTCGTTCAATGGCGTGATTACAACAGACAGACGAATATCGACTTAAAATCGACTTAGAATTTTACGTTGATCAAGAATATATATACCTGGTATTTCAAGGAGTTACAAACGGAATTACGAAGTTTATATGTCCTCCATAGTATGGTAGAGGGCATGGTACAATGAAGAGAAGGTAGGTCAACTTTGAAAAAATTTCAAGTATAGAGGTCTACCTGTTTGGCTTGTAATGTCAGAATTAGTATCAAAACAATAAAAAATCAAACAACTTGTTGCATTTATTTTGAATAAATAATTGAAAAACGCGATAACTGAATGAAAGGTCAACACTTCTTTTCAAAATCATGTACTATATGTCTCTAAAGGATTATTTCGCTACAAAACTCTAGATTTTGTCGATGCATGCGTTGAAATGAACATTTTGAAAACACCAGAATTTGAATGTTTTCTGAACAATTTTTTTGTTATTAAAAAGAAAACACATACATAAACAAAAAAATATGACGTATTAGGCCAAGAAAATAAAAAAATTGAAATCATATGGTAGTTCTGCCCTACCTTGATATCATTGTACCATGGTAGAGGGTATAAAAGTATTAACCATTTTTGCCGACAGATGTATACCTCGTCCGTTGGCTGACTTGTTTCACATGTTATTAGAAACTTAAGTATTGAAAATTGTGACCCAAAGCGAGGGAGGTACCGGAAGCCATGGACCGATATCTACCAGCTTCACAGCAGATCTTGTGTTAGTAGAAATAATGGAAAGCGTGCAGTTTAGAAAGGTTTGGATCCTTGTTTCACAATGTATTCAACATTTCGAAATTAATCAAAATTTCATACTCCTTTGTGGAGGAGGTAGTAGAAGGGAGTAATCCAATATATACCATTTTCACACCTGATCTTGTATTGGTAGAAATATTGGGAAGTGCCCAACTTGATAGAAGGCGGATCCTCATTTCGCTTTTTATGAGCTGCTTGGTTATCTAAATTGTTTACCCGTTGTGGGGAATGCACCAGAAGGAGTGGTCCGTTTTATCCGTTATTCATACCAAATCTTGTGTTGATAGAAATATAGGGTTGTGTAAAATTGGAAGACAATCGAACACTTATTTCACATTTAATAGTACTTAAAGTTATTCAAAATGTTGACCCTTTGTGGAGGAGATATTTAAAGAATGGGCCGATATTGTCAATTTTTATATCCTCCACCTTGGAAAGGAGGATATATTAACTTTGTCATTCTGTTTGTAACATGCCTAAATATTCGTCGTAGACCTTATAAAATGTATGTATTCATAATCAGCATAAAAATCTAAGTCGATGCAACCATGTCCGCCTGCCTGCTGTCTGTTGAAATCACGATACAGCCCACATTATTTCACGGATTTATCAGTAAATTGGTATTTGTAGGTCATAAAGGGTTCTAGCTCCTGTGGTGAAACATTGCTATGGTATGGTCCCATATAACGGTACCTCCCGATATTCGGTATTTTGATTATTTTTGCCAAATTTTTTACGGATTTGCCTAAAAAATTGGTATTTGTATGTAATAATGGGATCTAGCTCCGGTGGCGAAACATTGCATATAGCATTGCATTGCGTATAGGTCCACGTTTTGGCATAGACCCCACACAACGGTACCTCCCAATATTCGGTATTTTTATGATTTTTGCCACATTTTTTTTTCGCGGTTTTGTCTAAAAATTGGTATTTGTGGGTCCTAATGGGTTCTAGGTCCTTTGGCGAAACATTGTATGTATAGGTCCACATTTTTGGATAGCCCCATTTAGTGGTATTTCCCGATATTTGGTATTTTGATGATTTTTGGCATATTTCCCCATGAATATGTCTAAAAGTTGGTATTTGTGGGTCATAATTTCCTGCAACGAATTTGGTTCAAAGAGCCCTAGAGTCTAAAATCGACATTTCGATGAATCACGTTTTGGCCGTATCAAATCATAAATACCCTCTGCAGTCACATGGCTGAGGGTACAACAAATCCACGATTACAAACCAAAAAGATTTTAGGAATCCTCGAAAATAACCCCTGCCAAAAAGTCCACAATTAGAGCCCTGATAGGCCTTTCAAAAATATTTAATTATCCACAATTAAATCTTTATTAGACCTTGAAAAATATTTAAAAATCCACGATTATAGTCCTTGAATTTTGAACAAAGTTTACAAAGTTAACTTTCATCGGAAAGTTTACAAATTTTTGTAAGCGCTTAAAAGTATGCAGTAGAAACGCTAAATAATAATGTAAAAAAAATCACTTTGCATATGATTTTAACAATGGCGTGTAAACTGGTCCTAAATATTATTTACGAAATACTTTTACCTCAGAACACGAATGAAATTTTGAAATGAAAATCAAAAAGAAATATTTACAGCAAACTTTCTACGTGCCGATCGAGACTTTTCGATAAACCTTCTTCAAATGTACGTAGAAATATGAAATAATAAAAATAAAACATTGTCAAAAAAATTAAAAAAAAATAAATTCCAAAATCAAAATGATCTCCAGTTAGAGAATGTTTCTCTTTCACGCAAAATGGACCAAAATTCCCACTATCTGGAACTGCTACAAACACGTAAGTTAAAAATTTATAAAATTTGGCAGAACCACCCAAATTAGTTACATTTTCTTATATATTCCTACATCACCTTCCTGCAGAAATTCTATTACCTCAAAATTTAACCATTGGATCAATCATTTTCCTTATCATTATCAATGCCCTCTCAATGAGTTTCGATACAATACAAGAGCTCCCCAAAAATTCAATCATATGGAGAATACAAAAATTTCAGCCTCAACAAGAAATATTCAATAGACTTAAGGTCTATCTAAATTTGGAGGCACCAGAAAGATTTTCATGTGGTGAATATAGAAATAGAAGAAGTCTACATTTGATGCCATCAAAAAATTTTAAGGGACAAGAATTATTATTGTCCAATGCAGTGGAAAATGAACGACAAGTCCACATTTTAATAATGCTCTCGTTTTACATGGGCTATGCCATGAGTCATCTGCCGGGTGTATTGTTTTCGGAGTACTTTAATGGTATTTGGATTTTATGCAAATTTCAGGCGTTCTCATTTCTTGTGGCAATAATACCATGGGCGCAAGTGAGCTTCAATGGTTGGAGAAGTATAATTTTAATACGCTCCATTATGGGTTTTAGTCAAGGTACAATTTTGCGAATTTTGGGAAATATGAGTCAAAATCGATTGCCAGCGGAAGGAAATGTACTGAATCAGTTTGTGATGCGCAATAACCATGTTATCATACTTTTGATAAATATCCAAGGATCGCTGCTGAAATTCTTCTTCAAATGGATTTATTTCTACTACTCAATGGTTTTTTGTGCCCTGCTGTGGATACTATGCTTGGTGAGACACGATTCTTTAACGCATTCTCTATAAAACACGTAAAAAGCAGTAAGTTCGGCTGGGCTGAACTTTAAATACCCTTCACCAAATGGAATGAGTTTGAATTTTGACAATTCGGTTAAAATCTGAAGAATGCAGACTATAGGGAGTAACCGTTATATTGAGGTCCATGCGAGAAGGAAGGTACCGATATAGGGGGGCTATGTGAAGACGTGGACCTGCATAAAGAATTTTCTATCATAGGCTGAAGTACACATAAGGAACTTCAAATTGTAAACAATTCCGCTGAATAATGTAGCAAAAATCATCAAAATACAGAATTTATGCGAAGACGTGGACCTGCATAGACATTTTTTTGTCACAGACTGAAGTACACATCAGGAACTCAACTACGAAATTTAAAAAAAATCCGGTGAATATTATCGCTAAAATCATCAAAATTCCGAAAATAGGGAGGGCCTATACGAAGACAATTTTATGTCACAGGCATAGACAATTTTATGTCACAGGCTGAAGTACCCATTCCACATTCCGGTAAATAATGTAGCCAAAATCATCAAAATACCGAATGTAGGGAGGTACCGATATAGGGGACCTATACAAGGACATGGACCTGCATAGACAATTTTCTGTCACAGGCTAAAATGCCCATTACGAAGTGCAAATACGAAATTTGAAACAATACCGGTGAATAATGTCAAAATAGCGAATATAGGGACATGAAGTTATATAGGAACTATACCGAAACGTGGACCTATGTAGCCCATTTTCAATAAAAAGTCCTGCAGACCAAACACGGGGACATCGCTAAATCGATATAGAATTTTATGCTGATAAAGAAAGTATATTCTTTGGTGGCGGATTGATATCCGGAGATTTTGGTGCCCATTGTGAGTTGGAAATGAAGCGAGGAACCTCATTTTGTAATCATTCTTGGGTGGCGCGTGCTGAGTGTGATGGTCCTGTTGGAATGTCCAAGGTCTGCGGACAAAATGTTTGCGGGCCCAAGGCTTTAATACGCCCTCCACAATATTTTCGCGATAATATTCGGCATATATTCTAATGCCACGGTCGATTAATACGAGCGACCTTCGGCTGTTATGGCGGCCCACACCATCACCATGGCCTGCGCTTGAGTTCTGGTGGCCAACCGAAGGTGCACATTTTCAGCTGACCTCTTTTACAAATAAACACGATCATTTTGTTTGCTTACAAACTGTTGGACAACGAATGTTTTCTCATCGGAGAAAATCAAATTCGGCAGTTCATCACTTTCCGCCAAACGATGCAACTCTTTAGCTCTTTTGAGTCTATTTTCTTTCTGTTGCGGTGTAGATTCTTGCACTTTTTCGAATTTCAATGGCTTTACCCCGAACTCATTTTTCAATAGTTGGCGAATGGAATATTGCGATATGTTGAGCTCACGAGCCTTTTTTCGACCCTACGACGCCGGATTCGATCAAGTCGCTTCTTTACTTTTCGAACCATTTCTGCTGAAGTTGCTGTTTTCTTCCGTCCACTTCCACTTCCTTGACGTCGGGCTACACTATCAGTATCACGGTAACGAGCGGTGGTACGAGACACAAAATATTTATTTGCATTTAAATGTTGGAGTGCTCTAACGATAGCCACTTGTGGTTTTCCAGCCAAATATAAAGAAATCACTCTATCACCCTTGAATTCCATGACGAATAACTTTATTTCCGGAAAATTCTCACCAAAATGATTTCGTACGCTTGTAAACAATATAACGAGCTGTCACTGGAATAATTTTAACAGCTGTTGGACAAGTGGCTTTGAAATGACAGCAGTCTGCAGTTGGTTGCAGGTTTTTCATCTCACCCTGTAAACCCCCCAAACTATGGTGGAGGGTATAAAATTCTACGCTACATCCCTTAAAAAAATTTTAAAAATTTATTATTATTAACTTATAGCTCATCGCTTGCCATTACAACGAAACATCGTCCCCTTCCAGCAATCATCAAGAGAACAACACTCCCCCAGCAAATCCGTCCAGGCAAACAATTGTACCCCACTCCTCCTCAACACATTCGATGTTGTCCCCAATTCGAAGTGAAGATATTGAGAATTTCCTACGGCCCTCCTGGTGGAATTTAACCCTGAATACAATGCAATATCATTGGACGAAGACTCTATTAATTGCGGAGCTCAATCATCTAATTTTGGATTTAAGAGGACCACATATTTTTAGTATAATCAGCATAACGCTAAAAATTATGATACCTTTTCTACTTTGCTGGCTATTATCGCTGGTGGTGCAACAATTATTTCAATCATTAACAAATCAGGGAACTTTGCACCCAAGGCAATCCGCCAAATTGAAATTAGTTTTGGGTAGGCACAAATTTTCATCTCTGTCTTTTATGAACACTTATTAATCATTATTTTTTCCCATGTTTTAGCTACCTATTTTCCTCTAATTTTCTCGGATTTTGCATCGTGCCTTATGTCCTGCAATGATGGGAATTCTTGGGAAATGATATTCAATTGTGCCATCTCGGTGATGACCAACATGCATTCAAACATCAATTTGAACTCCTTGAAAATGCAGCTGAACACATCGCCCAGTCTAAGTAGTTTTGGAACATTGGTCCATGAACTGGGCTCGATAACGAATATTATTACAGTTTATTTTGAAAATCTACTGGGTGAGGAGGTCAATTTTGAAATGATCACATGATATCTATTTAAATCTGTTTGTGACACATGAAGTTCCAATAACATAGAAATTGGAAATTATATTCAGTTTTAAGACAAACTTGAAAATTTTCTGCAATAAATAAAAATTTGGAATTGTGGGCTACCAAACTACAAAAGAATAATATTTTACAAAATCACATTAGATAGTCTCTCGAAAAATACTAATAAATCAGCAATTATGGCTCCTTTAGTCTTTGGAAAAATTTTATTAAAAACCCACAATTATAGCTCCGAACATATTGCTAAAATTTCTTAAAAATCCACTTGGAAAATTATTATAATACCGATATTCCTTGGAAAATTGTCTTGAAAAATATTCGCGGTTATAGCGCAAAAATATACTTTGAATATCCCCTATTATGCCTTTGATAGTAATTTGAAAATTATTCATTAAAAATTCACGATTTTAGCTCTAACAAATAAAAAAGCAGCTAACTTTGTCCGGATCGAATTTTTAATACTCTCCAACATTTTGAAGAAAATTGAAAATTTTCAAAAAAAAAAAATCAACTGAAAACTGCCTCTCTAATGATAGCCGTTATATGGGGACTATAGAAAGACGTGTTCTAAAAATCATCATCATCAAAATACCGAATATCGGGAAGTATCGTTATATAGGAGCTATACGAAAACGTGGTCCTGCTTACGCGATTTTTGTCATAGTCTGTAGATGAAAAAACTGCAAACAACTTCAGACAGCTGTCATTTCTAAGCTACTCGTCCGATAGCTGATAAAATTATTCCAGCGATAGCTCATTATATTGTTTACAGGCATACAAACGGATTTTGGTGAGAATTTTCCAGAAAAAAAGTTATTCGTGATAGAATTCAAGCGTGATAGTGTGATTTCTTTATATTTGGCTGGAAAACCACAAATGCCTATCGTTAGAGCACTCCAGCATTTAAATGAGAATAAATCTTTTGTGTCTCGTACCATCGCCATAGACAAATGAAAATATCTTAATTTGTCTATGCCATCGCTCGTTACCGTGATACTGGTAGCGTAGCCTGACGTCAAGGAAGTGGACAAAAGAAAATGGCAACATCAGCAGAAATTATTCGAATAGTAAAGAAGCGAATTGATCGAAACCCGCGTGGCAGTGGCCGAAAAATGGGTCGTGAGCTGAACATATCGCAATATTCCATTCGGCAAATATTGAAAATCAAGCTCGGGGTAAAGCCATTGAAATTCCAAAAAGTGCAAGAACTTAGACCGCAACAGAAAGAAAATAGACTCAAAAGAGCTAAAGAGTTGCTTCGCTTTGCCGAAAGTGGTGAACTGCCGAATTTGGTTTTCTCCGATGAGAAAACATTCGTTGTCCGGCTGTTTGTAGCATCGCCACCCATGAATGGTTACAAAATGAGGATCCTTGCTTCATTTCCAGCGCACAATGGCCACCAAAACCTCTATTTTGAAAATCAATGTTGGCACTAAAAAAATACCAAAGTGTCGATCACCTCAAACAAGCGCTTCGCCGGGAATGGGCCGAAATACCACAAAGCAACATTCGGGCAGCGTGTGACGGTTTCATTGGCCAGTTGAAGGCTATAATTCGTGCCAAAGGTGACCAATTCAAACAAATCTAAACTGATACTATTTCCGATATTTTTTGTTTTCATTCAATAAAATTTAAAAAAAAAATTGTAAAAATTACGGAGTTTGACTTTGTTGCAGTAATTAAAAAATACTCTTTGAAAACCCCCGATTTTAGTTCCAATTAACCTCATTATTCCCATTTTGCAAGTTTTGTATAGAGGCGACATCTTTACTTTAAATCCAACAATTAAAATAAACTTACCATTGTTATTGAAATTCACCATGTCATGGGAAATACACCACTTAGTATAGACACATCCCAAAGCAAGGCATTTGAAAATAAATCCGACTTTTTTAAATATTTTCAACACATTGAATATTTATTCAACACTGAAGGAAACAGCAAACATAAACTTGACGACAAAATAATTTTATCGAAACAACGAAATTCGTTAAACATTTGTAAGCAATAGAACGGAAACGGACACAATTGTACAAATTCTCATACGACAGCTGCAAAATGGGATCGTTGCTGATTGAATTTTGATCGTTGCTGATTTGAATTTTAAATAAGAAAACTGATTTGTATTTTCGCATATTTTAATATTCCAAATATTTTTCCAACATATGCAACCCTCGATTTTTAATTTTTTTTTCTGAGGCTTAATCGTGAATTTTTATATATCTTATCGTGGATATTTTAATATATTTTCAATATATATTTTTTTTTAATTACAATTTTTAAGGTATTTTTTCAAGTACTATTATCGCGGATTTTTCAAATAACAACGGTGAGATCGATAATTTTAATATTTTTTCAAGTACTATAATCGAAGAATTTTTCCATTTTTTAAGGGATATGAAGGTTATAATTGTGGATTTTAATGTTTTTCCAAGAACTAGAATCATAGATTTTTTTAAAGTTTTTCAAAAACTAGTATCGAGGGTTTATATTTGTTCAAGGACTATAATCTCCTACTTTTTTAAGACCGATCAGAGCTACGAACGTAATTTTTTCAATTTTGTAAGGCCCATAAATATATTTTCAAGGGCTATCAGACTACTGTCGTGGATTTTTGAAATATTTTTAAATATTTTAAGGCAATAATCGTGTATTTTTTAATAGTTTTGTTTTCAAATGCTGTAATAGTGGATTTTTAGAATATTTTTTCAGAACTATCTCTGATTTTTGTAATATATACACTCAAGGCCTCTCAGGTCTACAATCGGGGGTTTTGAAAATATTGTTTCAAAGGCTTTAATTGAAGATTTTTAATATGAAATTTTTAAAATATTTTTGCGAAAGCAATTATCTGAGATTTTTAAATATTTTTTCAAGGGCGATCCGGGCTATAATGTGGATTTTTAAAATATACTTAAAGGGTGCAAATTTTTAGGGCTATTAAAACAATAATCGTGTTATTTTTTAATATTTTAAAGTCCTCTGATAGTGGATTTTTAAAAATAATTGAAAATACCTCTCATCGTGAATTGGTTAAGCGGCTCATCAGGCATATTTGGTGTGGATGATGGCTTACAAGGGCCGTTCTCTGGGAAGTAGTATATATTTCGAACTTATTGCAAATTAGCATATGCGAATTATACACTAGAAACTCTCCAGGTTCGACTCAAGTTCTATTGGCAGATCTTTTTCACAGCAAAGTTTTGTTTTTGTAGTGATGGATTTTTTGTCCACAACAACTACATTGCTTCCAATGCATACACTTGTTTTAGTGCTGCTTTAGGAAGACGGGTTAATGGCTCTGAACGTAGAGACGGCAACTTCTAGTTGGCTGCACACCGAGGTCCGCGGTTCAAATCCCACAAACCAACGGCGAAACGCGTCGCATAGTGGTGAGTGTGTGATAGTGTCTATCTGGCTTTCCTTTTCACTGCAAATTCCTGATCATTAAGCTCGTCTCGAAAGAGAAAACAAACACATAATCGTGGACTTTTTAAATCATTTTTCAAGGGCTATTTAAACTATAAAATTTTGGAAGACTTCTACTTGTGGATTTTTAAAAATATTTTATAAGATTTATAATCGTGGATTTTTAAACATATTTTTAAAGACTTCTAATTGTGGATTTTTAAAATAATTTTTCAAGGCCTATTAAAATTATAATCCTGGATTTTTTTAAATCATTTCTTACGGCTATTTAAACTATAATATTTTGGAAGTCGATTTTTAAAAATAAAAATAATTTTCAAGGGTTATCCGGACTATAATCGTTGATTTTTAAAATTATAAACGTGGATTTTTAAAATATGTTTTCAAAGGCTATTAAAACTATAATTTGGGATTTGTAAAATATGTTTTCAAGGGCTATTAAAACTATAATCGTGGATTTTTAAAATATGTTTTCAAGGGCTATTAAAACTATAATCGTGGATTTTTAAAATAATATTTTAAGGGCTATTAAGAACTATAATAATGGATTTTTAAAAATAATTGTAAAAATTTTCAGGGGCTGTTAAAAGCATAATCGTAAATTAAAAAAAAAAACTTTTCAAGGGCTATTAAAATTATGATCGTGGATTTTTAAAAATAATTTTAAAAATTTTCAGGGGCTGTTAAAAGCATAATCGTGAATTTAAAAAAAAAAAACTTTCAAGGGCTATTAAAATTATAATCGTGGGTTTTTAAAATATACTCTCGAGCATTATACTTTCAAGCTTGTTATGAATATTTTTTGAAAGATCATCATTAATATGAACCAATAAAATATTTAATAACAGTCTGTAATCAAAGATACTTGAAATATTTTGCATTCTATTTTTAAAAACATTTTCAAGGACTGTTCGATATATAATCAAGGATATTTAATATATATTTCAAGGTCGTCTGATATGAACAAAAATTACGAATTTTTCAAAATTTTTCTGATTTTGAGGAATTTTTTTTTAAACAATAATTGCGAATTTTTCAAAATTTTTTCAAGCTATATAATATGTATATATATATTTTTTAATTTTTAAAGGTTTTTAAAACTAAGAATTTAGAACTTTTAATATTTTTCAATGGAAGTGGAGTGGAGTTTTAAAATATATTTCCATGGGCTATCAAAACGATAATCTTGATTTTTTTAATGTTGTCGTAATTTCATTAAATTATTTCTTCAAGAGCCATTTGTGTTATGATCATGGATAGTAAAAATATTTCGTATATATCTAAAAACATGGATTTTTAAAATATTTTTTCAAAAGATATAGTACTAAATTTGTTAAATAATTTGGCAAACAAAATTCAGAACTGTAATCGTCTAATTTAATAATATATTTTTAAGTACTATCAGAAATTTGATTGTTGAATTAAATTAAATTCATAGAGGTCCTTACCTTTTTACTAAGAAATATATTTCAAGTCAAAAAAAAAACTATTATCAACTATTAAAAAACATTTGGTTATGTCAGTATCCACGTAGTAACAAACCTTCCGTTTC